TGGACTCTCCGGTGTGTCAGGAGGTTTGAATTGCGATTAAAAGATTTCCCACACTTCTGGCATTTGTATGGTTTCTCTCCTGTGTGGACTCTCCGGTGTGTCAGGAGGTTCGAATTGTGATTAAAAGATTTTCCACACTCCTGGCATTTGTATGGTTTTTCTTTCATATGGACACTCTGGTGTGCAAGAAGAGTTGAAGTGGAAGTAAAACATTTTCCGCATTCCTGGCACTTGTACGGTTTCTCTCCTGTGTGGACTCGCTGGTACATGTGAAGAAAGAAATTCCTGGCAAAACGTTTCCCATATTCCTGACATTGGTATTTTTTTCTTCCTATGGTGATTTTCTGGTGGCTCCTGAGTTGTGGTTTGCTATCCTCGCCTTTTCCAGATGCTTCATTTTTGAAACATATGTTTGCGGTGTGGACCCTCTTGTGAAGTGAAAGTGCCCTCCTTTCAGCAAAATATTTCCCACAAATATTCCCGTCATACGGTTCTCCTCTGGCAATACTTTTCTGATCTGCTGGAGGAACAATAAGCATAGAAAAGAGTGAATTCCAAATATAAACAAAAAAAAATCCTCTGGAAGGGGAAAAAGGTCTCTACATAAAACAGAAGGAGCCAGAAAGGGAAACGAAATCATTTTCCTCCTTCACATTTTTTGATCTTCAGATATGCAGAGCCTGGCATTTTTTCTCTATGAAACTTTCTAGTCGTTTTTCACCTGCTGAGTGAAGCAACTTACAACTTAATAGCCTCATTCCCTTGTTAATGAAACATGGCCGTATTGATTTTCTCTGCATTCTCATCTGGAATTCTCATCTTCCTCCCAGCATCACAAAAAAAGGACTCCAGATGGAGTCCAGAAGGATGAAACAAAGAGTTGGATTTTATACTGAATATTTTTATCACCGTGCTAGGGCTGAGATCATCAACAAGGAAGTTGATAAAAACTACAGTGGTGCCCTGCATAGCGACGTTAATCCGTTCCGGATTAATCATCGCTATGCAGAAACATTGCTAAACGGATCCAAAAACCCCATAGGAACACATTTAACTTCATTTAATATGGGGCCCAAACTTACCGTTCAGCGAAGATCCTCCATAGCGCCGCCATTTTCGCGCCCTCGGTAAGCGAGGGCAGGGCGCAAAAATGGTTGCGGCGGCCATTTTTGGGCACCCTGCAGCCATTTTGGAACCACCGATCAGCTGTTTAAAAAAACATTGCAATACGAAGATCAGTAAGCGAAACGCTTACCGATCATCGCAATGCGATGTTTTACCCATTAAAACATCGCACCACTGTACCATGCTTGCATAGACTAACATGGCTATTACAACTACTTACTTTTTTGTTACTGCCTCATGTTTGCTGATTTTTAAATGTTTTTCTATGAAGTTTAAAAAGTTAAAGTTTTTTTATTCAAACTTTTGAAATCATCTCCACAATATGTATGGCTTTAAAGAGCACGTAATAAATCCTTTATAAACCAAATTTGACTTTGTTCTGACTTTTTTTGCCCATAGGAACGCATTAATTAGATTTCAATGCATTCCTATGGGAAAACCTGTTTCGCAAGTCTAATTTTTCGTAAGACAACATTAACCTCAGAACGAATTAAATTTATCTTGTGAGGCACCACTGTATTACACTATCACTTAACAAAAGCCAGACACAAAAGATTGTGTCTTTTTAAAAAGGTCTCCATCCTCTTTTTGTCTTTAGCATTTTTGTCTTTAAAGGTGAAGACGACCATAAGGTGACCAGAGGTCTTAGTTGCAATCCCAATTTCCTGTTCTTTAGTTGTTAAGTCGTGTCCGACTCTTCATGAACCTATGGAGCAGAGCACGCCAGGCCCTCCTATCTTCCACTGTTTCCCGGAGTTGGGTCAAACTCATGTTGGTAGTTTCGATGATAATGTCCAACCATCTTGTCCTCTGTTGTTGTTAATGCAAAACCTTGACAGTTATCCCCTTCTCCCCTCACACTTTCCCAACATCAGGGTC